AAAACAAAATCTGTCCCATTTTATACCAGACCTCTAATTGATAATATAATTAAAAAAAAGTTATAAAGTTTCTCGGAGTATATAATGAAAAAAATTTATCTTGGAAAAAATCATATTAGTAATACCTCCAATAAATTGCTAAATGCATCGGAATTCTCAATAAAATAAGTAAAGTGAGTAAATATATATATATATATATATATATATATATAATATATATATATATATATATATATATATATATATATATATATATATGTATATATATATATATATATATATATATATATATATATATATATATATATATATATATATATATATATATATATATATATATATATATATATATATATATATATATATATATATATATATATATATATATATATATATATATATATATATATATATATATATATATATATATATATTAATTTTATAAAAATAAAGAAAAAAACTTTTTATGGTACCAATAGTTTCATGCCTAAAGGCAATCATCAGCCATGTAATACAAAACAAGAAACAAAAAACACCGTTAAAATATAAAGTTACAGTTGAGTGTGCTCCGTCGTCAAAACAAAACAAAAACAAAAAACTAAAAACGGCTGCCTAATCACCCGTATCGAATTTCGAAAGGAGAAACTTGCTTTTATGTCTACATTTAGATACTAATTCATTCCTCTTATTTAATAAGTTATCATAGGTGTACGATATTATGAAATACTTTTCGTATAGACATAAGTTGCATCGTTTTATTGTGGGATGGTAAGATCTACAACGTTTTAAAATTTTCCATTTAATTGTCGAGTTTAATAATCCATTTTCTTTTAACTTCCATACTTCCTTAGACAACTCAGTATCGTTTTTATATTTTTCGATCTTAAAAGATTTTGTATGATTAGCGTATCTAAGTTTAAAAGCAGTTTCACTAACTCCAAAATACACTTTTTCAATCCCGTCTGGAGTGCCTGTATATAGAGTGGCTTGATACACTATGTTATTAACGAGACACTGTTGATTTAACGAGATGATGGTTTAGCGGTTTTTAAAAATGCTAGTGGCCATCTTATGGACACAATAAAAAAACATATTATTCAAATTTTTAAAAACAACAATCTTTCTATCTCCATACAATGTAACATGAAAGTTGTGAACTTCCTTGATGTAACACTTAATCTCAATGATCAATCTTATAGAATATTTTGTAAACCAATCAATGAACTAAATTATATACATGTTGATTCCAATCACCCTCCTAGCATAATAAGGCAACTTCCTCGTTCTATAGAATTAAGGTTGTCAGCTAATTCATCTAATGACACTAGCTTTCGAAGCTCTGCTCATTTGTATCAGGATGCATTAAAAAAGTCTGGTTACAAATTTAAACTTACTTATATTCCGAAACTCATTCAACCTCTACCAAAAAACCGTAAGCGCAATATAATCAGGTTTAACCCCCCATATAGTAAAAATGTTTCTACTAAAATTGGTAAAATCTTTTTGGATTTAATTGACAAGCACTTTCCAGTTGGACATAAATACCACAAGATTTTTAATAGAAATACTCTAAAGGTGAGTTACAGTTGTATGCCAAACATTAAATCAATCGTTAACTTTCATAACCGTCATATTATGAAAAGCATCCCCCCAGAATCAGATAAAAGTTGCAATTGTATTACTAAAACCAAGTGCCCTTTAAATCAACAGTGTCTCGTTAATAACATAGTGTATCAAGCCACTCTATATCCAGGCACTCCAGACGGGATTGAAAAAGTGTATTTTGGAGTTAGTGAAACTGCTTTTAAACTTAGATACGCTAATCATACAAAATCTTTTAAGATCGAAAAATATAAAAACGATACTGAAGTGTCTAAGGAAGTATGGAAGTTAAAAGAAAATGGATTATTAAACCCGACAATTAAATGGAAAATATTAAAACGTTGTAGATCTTACAATCCCACAATAAAACGATGCAACTTATGTCTATACGAAAAGTATTTCATAATATTGTACACCTATGATAACTTATTAAATAAGAGGAATGAATTAGTATCTAAATGTAGACATAAAAGCAAGTTCCTCCTTTCGAATTTCGATACGGGTGATTAGGCAGTCGTTTTTAGTTTTTTGTTTTTGTTTTGTTTTGACGACGGAGCACACTCCACTGTAACTTTATATTTTAACGGTGTTTTTTGTTTCTTGTTTTGTATTACATGGCTGATGATTGCCTTTAGGCATGAAACTATTAGTACCATAAAAAGTTTTTTTCTTTATTTTTATAAATTAATATATATATATATATATATATATATATTATATATATATATATATATATATATATATATATATATATATATATATATATATATATATATATATATATATATATATATATATATATATTATATATATATATATATATATATATATATATATATATATATATATATATATATATATATATATATATATGTATATATATATATAAGTTTCATTT